TCATGTCCTAGTGATGTCCCACCGCTATTTGCTAAGACCTTTTACAGCGGCTCCTCAGTTTGCTTCCCCTGGCAAAGGCAGCCGTTTGGGATTGAAAAGTTTCTAGCCCAGACCCAAGTGCTAACGGCGAGCAAACCCGGGTGGGGAAATGCATATGGATGTATGTGCAAATCTTGTTATCTAAAATACTGAGTAATCGTATTAGGAAGCTGCACAGTGCTGCTGCGCCGTGTGCTTCAGCTATTGCGCCTCGCCTGAAGAAATTAATTCTGTAATACGGAAGTCTGGCAGTCTGTGAAGGGATGTGCCTTAGGAATAGCCCGTACTGACACTGGGCATCCCCAGCCACTTGGTAGGTACGCTTGTGTCCACATCCATGTTACGGAGAAGCCAAACGTTACCATTGCCACAGCACCGCCAGCAGCCTGGAGCAGAGGCAGGAGGGTTTGCTGGCAGCAGCGCACAATCAAGCCTCCGCATGCGCGTGTTCGTGTATGCTCACTGAGGCTGTCAGGGAAGCAATTGTTATAATTAAGGATCTATATCGTTCCATAAATTTTCCCAATGGCTTTAGGGAATCATAATTTACTAGCCCTTCTGTGAAGCCGGCTGGGTGCATGGCTGCACTTCTCCCCAGGGCAGGGGCCCACACCTCAGCAAGGCGGCTGCCGTCAGTCCCAGCTCTCGGGACAGTGTGTCACGGGGGCGATGTGACAGTATGTGACGGGGTCGGTGTGACAGCGTGTGACGGGGTCAGTGTGACAGCGTGTGACGGGGTCGGTGTGACAGCATGTGACCTGTGGCAAATCGTGCTTTGCTGCTGTTGTTCGGCCAGTAGGGATGTGGGAAGGGGACAAATGCAGAGGTGGCTTAAAGCGCAGGGGCAGCTGCCGTCAGAGCAACATGAAGAGGTTTAGTGTAAACAAAAACCTGGTTCTGCGTGGTCTGGTGTGAATGGCTCAACGCCTTGTAACATGCAGTCCTACAGGAGAAACGCGTGGTTTGGTTAAACACTTTAGAAAAAAAATGTATTGGAGCTTACCTCCCCCTTCTGGAAACTCCTCTATCTCTACAAATCCCAAGACTGCAGAGTGCTTACGGCCATACAGCATTCTTTATTTTATAGTGCTTTCGTTCCTAGTGTGATGAAAAGTAAAATATTCTTTTAAACGAAAGCAAAATGAGACGGCTTATGCTGGGTTGCCGCGGACTTTTCGCGTGTTACTGTCGACAGTGAAGTTGCGGTGATAAATTGACAGTGTTCAGTCGGGCAATACCAAGTTCTTCGATGAAAGCCCAAACTCCGCTGCTGTTCAGCGGGGTTTCGTGTCCCTACCTTGCACGCCTGCTACAGGGAAACCGGCGACCTGCCCCC